ATCATAATTTCTTAACGATTAAATAGTTTCTATTTTACTTATGTGTATAAACATACCAATTCTCAGAAATTGCTGGAGTTGCAGTCTCCATTCTCTATCAAAGTGGACCTTTTGAGTATTAGAAGGAAGGAAGAATATAGGTCAACCAAAAATTTCATATTTATCATTTTTTAAATGATTTTTATTATATATTTTAAAACAATAACAACGAACAAGACAAAATAACAGTAATACATACATAAACAAAGAAAAAAACTACACAAAACTTATTAACAGTACAAACATTGACTCATCTAAAAACAAAACATCAAATACAAAAATATAAAAGACTTCCTTAAACTATCAACTGATATCGCTTACTAAAACTATATATTTTCTCTAGCAATACTGGTTTAATTTAATCTATGATGTGTTACCTGTATTTTTACTATGTCTGTTTCATTATCTTACATATATTGTGTATAAAGATTACTATATAAATATTTATCAATTTTTGAGTTGGTTTCATCATCACACAGAACCAATGAATTCTGATAGAGTGCAGTCTGCAACTCCATAAATTTCTGAAAATTGGTGTGTGTGTGTGTGTGTGTAATAGAAACTATTTATTTTTTTAAAAAAAATGATTTTACAGGTGTTTTATGTGTTGTCTCCATACCAAATACATAATAAATGTGTTTTTGTCTATTTTATAATAGCTCTTGAAGAAGTATTGGAAATTGGAAATATTAGGCTTCTAAAAAAATTAAGCTTTTGGACTGTCACACAGTACGTGAGACTTTGATGCCTTTATTTTTCCACTGTGAATACATGCTTTCCAGTTTTTTGCTCTATTCTTACCAGTCTGAGCCAGCACAGCCAGTGGGGAAGCTTGATAGGATCTGAAGTCCAACAGCATGTAAAAAACTAGAAATTGTCTATGATATCTTTAAAAAATAGTATGCTATCAAAAGAAATTGTTCTAAAATGCACAGCTTTCTTTCCTTGCAGCTAGAAATGAATCCTACAGTGTGCTGTTGGGCTTCGCCCAGTCGTATTCCCTGTTTTTTAAAAATCCTTTCCTGCTACATCTCTAGCCCACACACACCACAGCACTATGACCCCAAATTCATGGAGGATGCGATTATCAAATGATACTAGTCATGAGAGTTATCTCTTATCTCCAGTGACAAAGGCAGTAGACCTATGATATGTTCTAGCACAATTCTTCAAAAAACAAGTTTTCATTTAGGATCAATTGCTCTTTTGCATTCTAGTGCAATCTATGAGCTGTGAGAGCTGAAGAGACATCTGAGATGTATACAGTCATCTGTTTGGGAAAACATATATAGCTCTAATATACCTTAACAAACCCCTAAAGGCTAAAAAAGAAAAGTACCAGATGCTTCTTGATCCTGTCAGCATGTTGAGCCTCAACCCACACCACTGTCATCCTGAAACCACTACAGTTTGCCAAACAACTGCCTCTTGCTTTGCTTCCAAGTCCCCACTCAATCTCCGAAGAAGGCACTGGTCTGACAAACTGTAACTGCTCATTTGATATGTCACCAACCATCAAAAACTGTCCACTAATTTGAATGATGGTTTGAATGCCATTTTCTGCTGCCTTCTGAACTGGTGGTTTGGTTTTTTAAAAAAAAAAAAAACCAAGAACACAATGAGTCAGAAGTTTTACTCGTGGGAGCATTTTGGATAAATTTAAACCCTGCTCCATGTGATAAATGAGCTAAAGGGAGGGGGAGCCCAACAGATTTATGTTTGTAACAGATTGTTCCTCAGGGGTAAGACAATATGTGGAACAAGGATTCAGTGTAAGTGGGCCCTTTTTGAGTCAATGGGTACAGATGTATGCCAGTGATAAATGGGACCAGTGATAGCTGAAAGAATTTCAGCCAGAGAGAAAACAAGAAAATTAGAGGCAAGAGATGCAGGGTGAAATTAATTGTTCTGATAAGAATGCTGTAATCTAGGAACCATGACATGTTGGTCACTGCAATGGACCAGTCAGATATATATCCACTTTTCCCCCAGGAAGTAATCATTTATGAAATTGACATATCCTCATCCAGATATTTTAAATCTCCAGTGTAATCAGGGAAACCAGAGATGCACTATCTGTACACACACTCTATTATTTGCAATAAAGACAGTTGTCTCCTACGATGTATCCATATTACACTTTACATTTAAATTTTAACTGCCATGGCCCGAGCACATGAAATCCTGGGATTTTCAGTTTCATGGGGTACTTAGAATTCCCTGCCACAGAGCTCTTGTGCTTCATTTCAAGAGAGCACACCAGAGATTTCTATGTGCCTTAGCAAATTATAAATCCCAGAATTCTGTAGAATGGTGCCATAATGCTTAAAAATATATTAACCTGCTATATTTGGACAAATGGCTACATCCCTGGCGTCTCAGGACTCTAAGGGAGCATCCACACCACATAGGTATAGCAGACTGATACAATTTTAACTGGTTTCATGCTACAGAATCCTGGGATTTATCATTTGACAAAATACTCAGATTTGCTAGAAAGCTCAAGTGCACTTTAGTAGTAAGACTCTCTGATAATTCCAAGTGCCTTGAAAACTACAAATTCCAAATCTCCATACAATGGAACCATGACAGACAAAGTGGTATCAGCTCCTGTTTCAGAATGTATCCTTCACAGGGTGAAAGCTGACAAGGGATCATAATGGGAGATATTAATCCCTGAAAAGGGCTGATGTGATGGTTATCAGATGGAACACAGCTGCCTAGTTGGAAGCTCTCCTAATGAAATGAAAGCTTTCTAATGGGAGATATTGTGTTTGAAAGCAAAATGAAATAAGATTCACTACATATAGAAATATAACATATCTAAGAGATATTGTTCTCAACAGACGTTTCTGTTTGACCTGGGAAAGAATGGAAAACTCTTTTCAGAGGTGTGCTTAGCTACTTTCAATAGATAGATAGATAGATAGATAGATAGATAGATAGAGACATAGATATAGATATAGATATAGATATAGATATAGATATAGATATAGATATAGATATAGATATAGATATATGAAGCTTCCTTGTACTCCCATTCCATTCCCCTACCTAACCAGTATTGTCTATTTTGACTGAAACATGACTCTCCATGCTCTCAGGCAAGTGTCCCTCCAAGTCAAGAGTAAAGATCTTCCTTCAGCCCAAGGACTGAATTTAGTTTCAAGGAAGTTCTCAGAGGCTTCCTTTAGTACTCGTACAAAGGGGATAGGGGACAGGGATCCCATTGATATGATGATATTTTAGTTTTTGATGCTCATATCATCAATAACTAACCATTTTGTTGCAACAGGAAGAAATACATACAAAAGCAAGGAAACCACCACTGGAAAGGGGGAATGACTTTCTGGAGAAACTGAATCTTGGAGTGAGAACCTGGGGCAGTGGCATCCCTAAGGGGGGTGTCACCCAGTACATGTGTGTGTGTGTGTGTGTGTGTGAGTGAACTGCCATACTTCCCACCCACCCTGTCTGGCCAGTCTGCTGCAGGCCCCACCCAAGCATTCAGATTGCTGCAGGGCTGCTGCCACTACTGAGGGGTGCCAGCCCCTTTGGGCATACCCCAGTTTGAAACCCCTGTACCCCCCCCCCCCCGGTGGCATCACTGACTAGGTGGGCTGGATTCATTCCCCATCCCCACTGCTTTAAATGGAGATGCCGAGAGCATGAACTTTCTGAATGCAAATTTCAGTTTTTCCACTAATCTTTTAACTGTATATTTGGTAGTCTGAACATACCTGTGTGTCAAATTCAGCCATTTTCTTACAGTCTCAGATTGAATTACGGATCTTTAGATGGTCTTTCTACCATTGTCCCACCAGGGCTATTTTGGCTAATGTGTATTGTACCTGTAAGATGAAAGTAGAAGAACAATACTGATAGTAGCCATCTTTCCTTGGTGATCCTGCTGTGCTGCCTCTTACTATGAACAAAACTACGTGTGCAGGCTTGTACTCCTGTTGTTGTATCCTTGCTACCTGAAGTGCCCTTCATGGACTATGGATGAGTCATCTCCATTCCATGCTCATAACGAACCATTCTCTATCAGTTCTAGACTGAATTGCATCACACCATCAGGTTAATTTTCCTGGTTGACTAATAAGGACAGTGTACTTGGTCCAGAATGTGATGATGTTATAGTTATCCCAGAGGTGGGAATTGTGCAGCATTCCAGGTGTTGTTGAATTGCAACTTCAAGCAGCCTAAGCCAGTAATGGTAAGGAATGCTGGGAGTTGCAGTTCCATGCATCTGGAGAGCCACACAATTCAGCATGTTCCCCTAAATAATAGAGCTGTGTGTATGTGTCATTAGGTCACCTGCCAACTTATGGCAACCCCATGAATTTCATAATGTTTTCTTGGCCAAGGAATCCTCAGAAGTGGCTTTACCAGTCCCTTCTTCTGAAATATAACCTACAGCACCTGGTATTCATTGGCTTCTTCATTCCAAGTTCTAATCAGGGCACAACTGTAAATGCCTTTCTTTAGACAATTAAGAAAAAAAATAGTGTCTGATCCCTACATTTTCAAATCTTACAGTGCTCAATAGTATGCTGCAATCTAAATTAAAGATGAAGATATTTAGCTCTGCTGTCTTTCCATTCTAAAATAATAACATTTGCATATGACTACTGCTGTCTGTTAAGGCTACAGATTTCTGTTAAGGCAACCTTGCCAAATTTGGAAGCAGGATACTCCAGCAGTGCAGACACATGCTTATTTGCCAGCACTGCAGCTTGAAGGCCATAAAAATGACCTGGACAAAAAGATATGCCTTCAGGATAATGTCTAGGGGAGCATTTGTGGAGCATTAAGAGAAGCTCACCTGTCAGGCAAAGGGATTGACCCAGATCAGGTGAAGAGTTTGGAAGAGAATTTTAATGAATTCCTGCAGTGTTAAGACGATGCTGACCAGAAAAGAGCTTTGAGCTGTGCATGGTGGTACAATAAAGAACTGAGCCAGCATGGAATAGTGGACTAGCATTAGACTACAACTCTGGAGATTAGGGTTCAATTCCCTGCTTAGCCATACAAACCCAATGGGTGACCTTGGGTGAGTCACACACTCTCAGCCCCAGAAAAACCCCTGCTAGGGTCATCAAAGTCAGAAACAACTTGAAGAAACACAATAACAAGAAGAAGAAAGCACACAGCTCAGATGTTCAGTGCAAGATTTCAGTGAGGTGAAGCATGATGGAGGTGGATGGATGGACAGATTGAGAATGAAGGTGCTAGAATCAATCCCTCACTGCTGACCCAACATTCAGAACAAAGCACCAGATTAGGATTTTCCAAGAGAGGCAGACAGAGAGATGCTAACCTCCTTGCCTGTGTTCATTACAAGGCCAGCATGTAGCTTACCAATGGGCTGTAGCAGGTATAGCTTATGGAAAAGTTACTTTTGAAAAACCCTAGGGAACACCAGGTAGCATGACTAGGAGTCTTAGCTACTGCAATAATATAATGTACAGAACTTCTCTGTAGGAACAGTCTGAAAGGCATAGCTAGTTTTGTCACCAGCCAGTAGTGGTTCATTACTATTTTGCATACCAATCCCAATTTGGGTAATTCACATGATAGGATAGATACACTAGGCCCATTTTCTAACAGAGCAGATAGAAGCAAAGAGAGGAAGCATGACTGGCAGTTTTGAAGAGGCAAGTCCATGGCATACAATCTGCATTTGCCTATTGCAGCTCAAGATACTCGGCCATTGTTCTAGCTGATGATTACGTAGATTGGGGTACAGAAACTGTAGCCTTCCACATGTGTTGGACCTGCAATCAGTCCCTGCCAATGTGACCAATGATAAAGGATTGTGGGAACTGTTGTCTAAATAATCTGTAGGATGAAAGGCCTCCCACACTTGGCTGGGGAACATTTGGCTCTCTCAGCATGGTAGACTACAATTCTGACAATCAGTGACTGGCTATGCCAGAGCGGGGATGATGGGAGTTGTAGGCTAAAATTTTCAGAGAATGGAGGGTTACACATGGTACAATTTTACCCAAGCGTTTAAAAGTATACACTCATCCCTCCACATTAACTGAGGTTAGGGGCACAAGACCCCCAAGAATGTGGAAAAACTGCAAATGAGAGAATGACTCTCTAGGTCCTCCAGTGCAACTCTGTGGCCAACATCTGCCAGACATTGACCACAGAATTACACTGGAGGAGCTACAAATGCCTAGTGGAGTGTTCTCTCTAGGAATCTCTAGGTCCTTTAGTCTGACTTTTGGTTAAGGTTGACCATAGAGTAACACTGGAGGACCTGTCCCAGAGATTCCTAGAGAAAACATATTAATAAAATCTGTGAATAATCAAATCCACAGAAGTCAAAGCTGCAAATGTGGAGGAAGGAGTGTCCATTCCAAATACCAAAATTGCTTTTGCCATTTTAAATAAGGGACACCATCTTACTATGCCATTGCATTTCGTTGAACATCCACGGATTTTAGTTAGCCATGAGGGTCATGGAACCAAACCCCAGCAGATAACAAGAGCCCCCTCCCTCTGTCTCTGTGCATACATATATATAGAGAGAGAGAACATTCTATAGGAAACATGACTGGCTCAGTGGCTTAGTAATTAAATTTGAAGCCTTTCACCTTTTAGTCAGTATTTAAAAGCTATCTCAGATCATTACTGATTCCAATGCATTATCACATGTTCCCTTCTGCATCCTGCTGGAGGTTTTCATCTAGTGACTGACTGCTCCTGTCCTCATCTTAACATTAGGGAAAGGCAATGGCAAACCACCTCTGAACAAATCTTTCCAAGAAGATCCCGTGATAGGCTCACCTTAGGGTTGCCATAAGTCAGAAATGACTTGAAGGCACACAACAATAACAACAACAACAAATCACCAAAAGCAGAAACCCAAGCAACTCTTGGCAGATCATAAGGAAAGATGTTAAGTAGGTTCAGTTATGGTAGAGGACTTCTAATGTAAGTACAATCTGTTTTAATTTAATTCTTCTGGCTTTAAAACACCTGTGCCAATAAACCTACAAATGTTACAAGCATGTGGGAATTTTTGCTAGCCTGATGGCAAAAGAGGGATAGTAGCTTTAGTTCTATGTGGGCTGCAGAGGTGGCGGCTTCCCTTTTCTCACAGCCCACTTGGTTTTTATAGTACAGGAGAGGGATGAACACTCAATATCTCATCCACCAGCCCACTCACTTTCCTATATAGTATCTTCAGATGTGTGTGTGTGTGTGTGTGTATGTGTATCTTTTCCCCCCATCATTTTGTCCCCAACAGGAACAGGATGTCTTAACACATCAAGACATCTTTGTTCAAAAAACTGTCAACTGCCTTGGGTTTTTTTCCACATTATTTTGTGAAAATTCTCTAAAGATATACCCTGCCACCACCCAAAAACATTAGCAGGCATCCTGCTGAGCAGTTATGAATGTATAAACTAGATATACACATTTGGAACTGTTTGGTATTCATGTTTACGTTTGTGGCACTACTGGCATGTCATAAAATACCCCAAAACTATCTTAGCAGCCATTGCCACACTGAGTGATAGCAGTCTATTTTGTTTGTGGTCAGGACACAGCAGGATGTTTCCAGCCCCTCCCACCAATGATCTGTGAGCAACAAAGAATTGTAACTGCAGTCCTGCTTCTGAGCCTTGCTCAATGGTGGTGGGAGCTGAAAAATGTCATCTTTCTGCACCCCATCACTGGCAAAACAGACTTTTGTCATTCAGTGTGACTACTGGCTGGTATGATAGATTTGGGGAGCTGGGTCAGGAGACAATGTAGTTAAGTATTCTTAACTGTATATGATTTAGGATTTCGACCATTATTTCTTGGGGAAAATGCTTTATGCAAGATACAATTTTTTCACACAACACTGAGATCCCCCCCCCCCGAACTTTTTATTTTCTGCCAACAAAAACCCTCCAACATTTGTTTTTTTGGTGGGGGATCTCAAATGTGAAAGTCATTGGAAAAATGCACAAAAAGACTCCCCTCATAATTTCTCAAAAAGGGAAAGAGTGTAGAATCATTGTTCTTAGGTGCAACGATTAAGATTTACATCCCTAAGAATATCCCAGGTACTCATCACAATACTGTTCCTGGTTATCTATGGGTATTTTAAGTCATAAGGCACAAGATTACTTGAAGCCTAATAATACTTTATGCCTTTTTGAATTGAGCAGTCTATAAACCTAAATAGGTTACAACAATCTGCCTGGATGAGGAAAATGTATTGCTTTAGGAGGTTTAAAAACAAACAAACAAACAAACAAACACCTCTAAACTTGTAAAATACATTTTTACTTCTGAGAAGCCCAAGACAGTGTACCTGTGATTTCTTAGGCACTGATTCCCTATCACAAACTTGATTAGCCTTAACAAGATGGTGCCACATCACCTCCAACCCGATCCCTTAGTTAACTGGTGATACCAGAGCTTGATCCTGGAAATGTCTGCATAAAAACCATGTCTTATATCCTGAGCAATGGTCCTTTTTCATTCAGACTAGTCTCTGGACTTTCTCCTAAAGCATTTGCACTTCACCAAATGAATCAGCTTCACGATTCCCTTGTCTGTGTTTCACCCTCCCACTTGGAATTGCCACATGTTTGCCTGCTCTGATGAATCTCATATCACCATTGAACTGAACCCACTCTGTTCTCTCCACACAGAACGTGCCTGCAAAGCTACATATTCATGCTTGTTCTGAGGATATTATTAGAAATGCAAATAGATCTTGAAATGCTGCATTGGACTCATGACGCTCGCCTCTTTCCAAGCACAGATTTTCTTATCCATTCTGAGCAAAGCCTTTGACTCAATAGTCTCACAACATTATTGTCCTTTAGTATGATGTCTCTACTTAGGGTTAATTGGGAGCTGGAATTTATATGTGGGCTTGCCCCAGCATTGATATTGAATGCCAAATACCAGCTCTGTAACCTGGAAAGGCAGCAGTGGTGGCCAGTGGGTCCACTGCCAGTATGGGGCTTAAGTCCAAATTTTAACTGAGTTATCATATGTGCTGAACGTATTTTGAGGATACGCCTTAGCTTCACTGCTCTGCTGACAGATGTCCAAAAACACTGCAGAAATAATCTAGTTTGAGACCGCTTTAACTGCCCTGGTTCAATGCTAGCGAATTCTGGGAAGTGTAGTTTTGTGAATGTTTAGCCTTCTCTGTCAGAGAGCTCTGATGTCAGAATAAACTACATTTCCCAGGATTCTCTAGCATTGAGACAGGGCAGTTAAAGCAGTCTCAAACTGGATTATTTCTACAGTGTGTTTTGGACCACTGTAATCTTAGCTACCAATGATAGAAGCTCTGAGCAGGTACAGAAAGTCTGCTCTTCCCTAGAGAATTTCCTCAACACTTTTTCTTCCTGACTCCACTATAGACATTCCTCTATAACAGGGTCACTGGCCGACTATAATTCTGCAGAATAGAGAAGCCTTATTCAAGCATTCTGCCTGAAAAGGATACATTACTACATGTGATGGGGCACACGGCTGTGGACTGAGCCCAATCCTTATGGCTAGTGAGTTACAACCCCACCCTATCATTTTCTGAGAACTGAACAGGAGTTGTACTGTCAAGCATGAGAAGAAGCTCAGTGTGATCAGGAACATTTAATCAGGGCCCCTGGTTACACAGAGTTTTACATGACTTATAGCAAATGCAAGCAAATGTTCAGGCCATGATGATCAATATGGAACAATCAAGAACTGAGAGGGTAGAATCAGTTATGGACGACTCCATGTGCTAACTCATTCAATAATGCACCCTGCTGAGGCTTTAAACACATGAAAAGGACTAGAATGAGGCTTGAATCTAAGAGCCAAAATCTGTTAATGGTGAATTGTGCAGCTTTCCCTGAAAATGGCAGTCATATATCTAGATTTGCACTCCTACCTCTAGAACACACAAAATCCAGTGTATTTCAAGACATCATAATATTTAATCCCATTCCCTATCACATTTAATCCCATTCCCTGCCAACATCCAAAAATGTTGAACAAGGAGATAATCCGTGG